TTAATTCCACCATTTATAGCAAAACAAATACATAAAGGTGTTCTAACTTGGAAGAGATCCAAATCTTCTTCTTTTGAGCTACATCAGTGTTACAACATGACCTAGTAATAAAGGACATCTCATGCTACTGGGGCTAAATATTACGATACTAGATGCCCACTGTGCACATGTCATGTCTTTAAACTTAGACTGCTTCTCAGTCATTTGGATCTGTGAGTTCTTGAGGGTGAGTAAATCCTAAGAGGTGGTAAGAGGAGAGGTTAAAATAGAAGCAAAACACTGCGTTTTTATCCATGGGTTCTACAGGACTCAGTCTTTCTTGTCTTATTTGGAGTCTATATGGGCTATACTGTAAAAATTGTACTGGACCTATAAATATCTACATGCCTTTGAGGGATATCTGCCCATTTCCCTTTTTTAAGTAGAATTTGCTGTCTGTCGCAGTTGTCTTTAGCTTTTGATACTGGACATCTCCCCATTGCTGTTCTTTATCTTTTTTGATATGGTAGCTTCTCAGAGTGAAAGGGATGGAGTATGTCTGTCTGTTCTTCTGCAGCATCCAGAATGGTGTGTGTTTTAGTGACGTATGGGACAGTTAAGCTTTGACACTGTGGCTGGGCATCAAAGCTTCTCATATTTGCAAAAGATGTGCCTTCCTGAAAATGTCTTGATTAAATTTTGGAGATCAGAACATTGTCTAGACCAAGGCCTAAGTCAGAAACAATCAAGGATATGATTGTGAGATGACAGTCTTGCAGCTACTCTGGCATAACTATTGGTTCCCATCTAGCAATATGAATAAAGTTTGGAGAACTCTTTATTTAATAGTGTTCTTGCTTTCTACATATGCGAAAGGGCAAACTGCAATAGTTAATTTTCCTTTTAAAGGTAAGTGAAGAGGAACATGACCAGTAGCTTTATTCCGTCTTGTCCAGTTCTAAAAGACCTGCCTTAAAAGTTACAAGCTTAAACTTAAATTAGCTAAAGATATAGTGGTCGAACTCTAATATTGACAGTAATATGCTGCAATACCTATTTATGATGTTGCCTGGCAAGCATTCTGACCTTCAACTTTGTTTGAAATTACTTTCCCTTCTCTCTGTGAATGATTCCTGTAACAAAATAGACTATGTTACTATCAAAATTGATTCTCAAGGATTGCTAGTTGAAACTGCATATTCCACTTAACATGAAGACTGTACATTAGTCACAAATGAATAGAAAACTCTGCTGTGAAGGATTAAGTAAATCACTATTAAAGGGAATCATCAGTAGCTTTCTTTAAAAAAATACACCTAAACTGTAGCTTTCAATATCAAGTGTTATGTTATACACTATTCTCAGATTCTTGGGGTAACAGTCTGTATTTGAAGTAGTCCTTCAGTCCTCTCTGGACTCTTTGCTATGTCTGTACAAAGTACTGGTAGGTTGGGGGGATTCTGGTGCTTAGTACCATGCTAAATTCTTCTCTAGGTACTTTGCCATGTGGTAAGCATTTACTGACCCACACAAAGAAATATCCAAGAACCAGTCCTATTGTTCAGATAAGTGCTTGTGTGAAATACTTTTTTCTTAAGCTATGTTGTGAAATTTTTTTCTGTTTGTTTTAACAGGGTCTGTGTCCGTTCCCGTTGTTGGGATGCGTGTATGGTTGTAGATGGAGGAACATCTTTTGAGTTCAATGATGGGGCGATAGCTTCAATAATGATTGATCCAGAGGATGCACTGTGCACTGTTCTGCTGGAAGAATGAAGGACCCTAGTGTCTTCTGCTGAAACAATTCTGGATCCAGAGAGGGAACTCCTGGGGATAGACAGCACATCATAATGCTGCATTATGTTGGAAGTTGGCCTTTTTGGATGCAAGAGCATTTGGCAGAAGCTCGAGATGCTTTTCATTCCTTTGGGTTGGGGAAACCTTAGTCTGATATTTAAGCTCTTTTTGCATCTGGTGTAAAAGAAATATATCTGAAGTCTTACCTCTAACTTCAGTGAAAATTGACATTTTAACCTGCGAGGCACACATGAAAGAACATCTTTTTAAACACAGGTAGACGGGTTCAAGTATTAAGTCAGTAGCATTAAATACTCAGATGTACAGTTTTTTTAGTAAGAGTCTGGGAAACTAAACACCTTCATGCATATACTTTTGTAGAAAAGTTGACTGTCAATCTAGCAATTTCATGCAAGGATATATAGATTTTGGTAAATCCTGATGTTGACATAATAGAAATGGAAATGCAAACCTTTTTTATGTTTTTCAAAAATTTTACAACTTTATAGTTTCATACAAATTCTCACAGGTTTTTTTTCTTTTTCTCTTCCAGTATTTTTTCTACTTTGTAGATTTACATCAGAAGTAAAAGTCTGGTTTAATCACATCTTCAGTGAGGTAGCTCTTACCTGTTCTCTTTGGCTCAAGGCGGACTTGAAACCCAAGGCTTTTGTTGAGCCCTTTAAGAGGAACATACAAGCTGTAGGAAACATGTTGAAGTAATATATCCTCCTTCACCAAATGGATTAGCTGGCTAGCCCGGTGTTGAGTCACAGTAGTCTGTATGTAGGTGGCTATCATTAAGAAAGATATTTGGCCCTTATGAAGTTGAATGGTTTGGAATTTTAGGTTCTGAGTTGGTTTATAGTTGAAGAAGAATGAGATATGCTGGGTGTTGGAGTACAAGTTAATACCTACGTGTCTCCCAGTTTTCCAAGTGTTTTTGACTTGCCCAGAAAGTTTAAATTTCCAGTCCTGTGCTGAATTCTGATTCTTAATTGGCCACAAATTACATGCCTCTGATCGTGTGTTTAGGTAAGGAAGTTGATAATAGGGAAAAAGCTCTGATTGTAGAAAAGGAAGTGACTTTTTAGATACTATTTTAGAGAAACTGTGAACTATGACTGCCTTTGAAAGTCTGTGCTGATAATTGCATAGATGAGAGGGCAGAATTTAACAAAAGGAAGATTCCTACAGCAGGAACTCTTTTGCTACATGACTTGAAACACATGTCTTTTGTCCTGTCTACTAGAGATCTATTTCCAAAAGTGAGTTTTCTTCAAACTACTTTTGAATGAAGAGACTTCTGTAACAGATGTTCTCAGGTCTAATGGAAATGTTCTCCACTGTGGCCAATCAGTGTATTTATTGCCAATCACAAAATGTAAACTGATCTTTACAGATGGAGGAAGGGGATAAGGGGTTTTTTTTTTCCTCCTTCTACTAGTTATGTGTTTGTAGTCACTCTAAACCAGAATTTAGAGGAAATTGATTTGACCAGACCATTTAGTTCTAGGAAAACGTGATACTGGTGGAGCTTTTTGAGTAAGCTATCACCGTTTGTGTACATTTCACCTTTCAAGTATGCTGCAGATGGAGTTATTTACACTATATTATTGAGTTACCAGGACTGCAGACCAGAAGGGGAAAATCAAAGTGGCCAAATACTCTTTCAAAACTTGGCAAGTTCAGGAACTATCAGAGTAGAGCTCTTCATGTCTAAAACAATCTGCAAAACTGGGCTAAAGGTAAAGATGCAGAAGACAAATCTTTCTTTAGAAAGCTGGCTGCACAGAGAGTAGGGTGTTTTAATTATTTTTAATCCATCTTTAACCAGTTAAGGATGGTTTATGTGCCTCTGTCTAGTACACTCGTCAATATGCTGTTAAGATTCAAGAAAAGCCCCCACAACCCACCAATGCCATTAACACTAATTTATGACTTCCTAGGACTTTACCACTGTGTTAGATTTAGGTATTGAAGTGTCCTTGAATACCTGCATAGACAAATTTACAGCAGAAACCCTGTCCCATACTTATTTAGAGACATTTGCATGCTGTAATGTTTCAAGGGATACTAATTAGTCTGATCAGGGTGCATACCTCTTAAAGATGCCTATCATTCCTTATTATGAATGCTGAAACTAAAAGGCAATGTTTTCAGGCCCTACAGATTCAAAGTATGATCTGTTTTAGGGTCTGGTAAGAGATTTCACAGCTAAATTCCTAATTTACTTATTAAAATGGAAACCTGACCTACTCATGAGTGGCCTCTACTGGTTTTGGCTATATTTAATTGCACTTCTGTTGAAGCATTTACTGGTGAATGCTTAATTTACGTTAACTAGGATGATTCAGAGATCTATAATAGATAAACAGTAAGCAGCTACCTTTTTTTAATTATTATTAAAGAATTGTACAATCCTTTTTAAGGATCCTTTATTACAAAGGATTGCAGTACAGACAACTTACCTGGTAGACAGTATTTTGTGACAGGACTGAGTATTGGTTTGACACTGATCTAATCTACCTGGACTGGCAGTGAACTCTGCACCTCTTCTACCTGCTGAATCAAATCCATGGTCTTTTCATTTAGGGCCAGTCCACACTGTGTTCTGCTAAACTAGACCTGTCATCCTTTGCTTTTTTTTTTTAAAAAGTGGTGTTTATACATTATGTAATAAAAATTAAAAATTTAATAGATACATGAAGCTGTTATGTGCCTTCTTTCAACTTTCAAAAGTGTTCCATGTGCTCGGCTTGCTCTCACTGTGCAGTTTGTTTTAAATAATGTTTTCTAAGCCTTCATGCTTTAGGTAAAATGCAGAGACTTCTCTATGTAGCATTTTTTGCTATGGATTGCCTGGAGCTCCCAAGCAACTTTTTAGGTTAGGAAAAGGTCAGTGAGACCTTATCCACAGGGCTTCCCTTATGTCATAACCAGTAGACCTGCAATAGAAGCGTTTGTCCTCTTCCAACACTGAACCTGGTACTTAAAAAAACAAGTTCATGACTATTCCTTCTAGTTGAAGCCATACGACTGTCCTTATTCTGTACAAGGTTTTTAAGTGCAGTCTGTTAAATGCTAAATGATAACACCCTGCCATCTAAATCACCATTAGATGTTGCTTGGATGAATTTCTGCTTTTTTTTTTAACTCATGACACAAAGTTGATGGCAAGTCAGGGAAAAGTGTTCTCCCATCCATCAGTCATTTTGTACAATACAGCCATTCCTTAGATCTTTATTAAATGCAAGAGAAACTGCATAAGCATATATTGTGCATAAGGAGAAGAACTTACAACAGTGCTGAGCTGCAAAGATTTACTTTTCTTCTTGAAGTACTTTAAGGCATAAACACAGCCTGCAAGCTGTGAAGCAGTACAATATCCACTATCCCCCAACCTCCCACCCAACGCCCAACTGTCACAAGGTCTGTTGCCCATTAACTTCTTTGTAAGGGGCACAAGCCCAAGTCACTTAGAACAAATTAACAAGATAATGCTGTATTTGCTATACGATACAGAGTCAAATATCAAATTCTAGTACTGGTACAATCTTTCCATAGAAATCAATCTGTTCTGTACTACCAGGTATTTATTCCCAAAATCTTTTCTTTAGATTGAGATGGGCAACACTATACTTATGCAGCAGCCCTACAGTAACGTGGCAGCCCATCCTTAAGCAGCCATGAATAAACTCAGGACCCGCTTGCTTACTGCATTTATGGGAACAGCAGCAGTATGATCATGTGCTACACGGGGTGCAAGTTTTATCCTAGGGCTTCCCAACTGCTGCAACATTCCAAGCTTACAAACAAGGACCATGATGATAGACTCAGGTCAAAGTTATTTATTTTAAAGGCATGACTTGAAAAAAACCACAACAGTAGACAGCAGTGGTTGGTGTTACAGGTATGAGAAGTGACTACAAATACAAAGTATTATAAAGGAGAAATTGATTTCTCTTAATAGCACCAGCTTTTGGGTTTGGTCTGAAGCACCAGCTTTTGGGTTTGAAGCCACCTCCTCCAAGACTTCTGCCACTTTATCAGTTGTAGTTGAAAGAAAGGAATTTCAAGAACAGCTTTAAGAAGTTTTAATCTGAGGTCAAGCTCAGAGAAGCTACATTAAGGTTCTGTAGTATTTAATCAGAAAACCTAGCACCACAACATGAAACAAATGTTAATTGGCATCTAGTTTTGTAGATGCTTATTCTGACTGGGCTTTTCAGACTATATTTTGCAAACACCACAAAATACATTGAAGTTTTTCTTTAGCAGGCCACAAAGTAACATCTATTTTTAGTATCCCCTTTATACTGCTTCTTAACTTGTGCAGCATTGCGCTGTCTCTTAGCTGCTTTTGCGTAGACATCCCTTCCCCTATTTACTGTTTTCAGGCTTGAATTCAGACTCAGTCCTCTCTGTCCCTCTCACAAACAATAGCTTCTCATCTCACTATACATCTTGTTCAATTAAGGATTTGAATAGATTGAATACCAGTACTCACTTTTGAGTTCTGCAAACTGTGCAGAAAGACAATTCCTGAATAAGCATTAATAATAAGGCATCTAGCACCCCTACAAGCCATTTGAGGAGTTGAAGAATTAACCAGAAGCACCTTTAGAATATATTAGAGCAATAACAGCTGCATCAGAACCTGCAGCAGTTGCTACAGGCTGACATTGTTTAATTAAAATTACTGTTTCATAACTTTTTTTAAAAAAAGCTCCCCTGTAAAAGAAAAAAAAGGGAGGACTTGGAAGAAAAATTCTACATTTGCACACACATCACCATATTTCTAAAGACCTGAAGTAAAAAATACTGTAAAAAAATGTATGAAACTACATTAAGGCATAAGACCAAGTTAAAATGCTTTTTACAAAAACAGTACTATAAGTTTATAACTTCATAATAACAGTACTCTGCTTCTTATGGAGCTTCACTACGCACGGTGTGTCCATTGCATCCAGTGCGTTGTGCGTGATCATACGCCGCTCTGGTTTCTCAGTGTCAGTCTGCATTTGATACCCCAAATCTCATGGTTCTTTTTACTGCCAACAGTTGGCCTCGCGATACTTGTAAAGTGTGAACAATTGATCTTCATGTCAGGAAGCGTTTCCTTGAGGAGCTCTAGGGAGCTATCAGTCACTATTCCAAATACCTGAAGAGTCTTTAAAGTTGGAATTTCACCAAGTTCTCTAGAAAGAGAAAAATACAAAATTAATCATGAACCTGAAAGCTTTTTTTTTTTTCCCAGTCTGTTCCCAAACTAGATAACTGCATTTCTACTGCTTTTTAAGAAGTAAGGTAACTACTTAAGGTAAATTCCCCTTCCTACTTTTAAAAAGCACATATTTAATTGACACTAGTTCCCTGTACTGATAATTCAGGAAAACAGCTGAATAAATTGCTTCTTGCTGTTCTCTCTCACACAAAGTGAAAACAAACTGATTCCTCCCCTTTCATTTCTCTGGACGTAAGTGTTTAGAACAAGTGGAGGAATTGGCCCAGACTAAGTTTCAGGATGTGGCTCAGAGGACACAAGCCCCTAGGTACTATCAGTCTCCCAATTTGTTGTGATGTTTTGGTGAGTAGCCAGCCCTGGCTTCTTGATTGCTTCAGTTATTTGCCCAGTCATCATGTAAACTGTACCTATAAACAAGTATGGGACAAAATCAAAAGGCAGAGAGAGACAAGCTACCACCATGGCTACAGAAAAGGTTCTTCAGATTCCCATTTTGATAGTCCTGTTCCTCTCACAACCTTTTCCTTGATGATTTCTTTAGGATTGACATCCTTCCTGACGGGATTAAGGAGGATAGCTGCTGTACTAATAACAGGCACAAGCAAGTAACTCTGAGTTTCAGTGGCAACCAATAACTGATCCAAGGATAGCTGCTGTACTAATAACAGGCACGAGCAAGTAACTCTAAGCTGAGTTTCAGTGGCAACCAATAACTGATCCAGGGGCACACAAAAGCAAAGGAGTATAATCAGATTAGCTAGTCAGCCAGTAGACTTTCCCAAAGGACTATACCTTCCTTGCTGCATAATTGAAAGCCTAATAGTGACACCGACACCTGTCACTGGCAAGACCAGACCCTCCAGCTGCATAACGCCATGAAGGGAGGACGTGATGCCTGCACTGAGCAGCAAGTTCCATGAGTACAGTACTATCTCCAGATACCTTTGGTTCCAGCCTGGATTCTCAAAGGCACATGCTCTAGCAGTCAGGTTACTTTATCTCAGTGCCTTATTCATATTTCCTCATACCACTGGGTTTTTCAAAACCGTACTTGCAGTTCTAAACCTATAATAAAGGAAGTTTAAATGAACTTATCCTCTCTTTGAATAAGCAAACCAAAGCCATCTAGAAATTACTTACACTAAGGCAGCAGGTGATATCTGGTAACATCGGCTAAGACCCAGATGTTGTAGAAAGTTAAGTTGATGAAAATACTGGAAGCACTCAGGCTTCAACATCACGCTGTCACTGTACGTAAGAGCACATAAAATAGATGTTTAAGTATAAAGCAGCAGTAATTTTGGCATTTTCAAAATTCAGGCTGAGAAATCTAATGAATATCAACTTCTTTTTCTACTACTGAAGTATTTTTTTGCTCAATGTGGAAGTAACCCATTTCTAGTGTGTGGGTGGTGTTGGGGAGAGATTTTGATTTACAGTGAAGGGCAAGTAAAGCAGAAGCTTCTCTACAGCCAGGTATTCTGCAGCAGAACTCATACCATGAAAGGGTATTTACTTTGCACATTGAGATTTCAAAATATTTTAATTGACTAAGTCAAAACCAAAATACCTTTTTTTTTTTTTTTCAATTCTATGGCCAAGCAACAAATTCATATCAGAGCTGAACTGAACCCTCTCACAAACCACAGAGAATCATAGAACCATTTAGGTTGGAAAAGACCTGTAAGATCACTGAGACCAACCGTAGCACTGCCAGGTCCATGACTAAACCAGGTCCATAAGCTTAAAATACCATCTTAAAATACCTCTTGGAATGGTGACTCAACCACTTCTTTGGGCAGCCCGTTCCAGTACTTGGTAACCCTTACAGTGAAGACATTTCCTTCACGCACAACCTGCGGTATGCATCTGAACGCGTCCTTCCACTCTACGTAACAACTACAATCACTTGTTAGATCTTGTATGTAACATATGTAACATTTATGCCAAGGTAACAAAGAAATCTTCAAGTTGGTTACCTGCTGCCAGTTAGGTCATACCAGATAGCAAATGTTGTGTAGAAAGTATTTTCTGGTTGTGCAGTTCTACACAACTGTGTGTTATTGCTGTCTAATAACTGCACCACAATAGACCTGTCAATCCCTGGAACCACAAGGGTTTAACGACGAGCTGCACAGGTCTTCTTACCTTAGATCTAAATGGATCAGAAAAGGACATCTCTCCACCAGTGTTTTAACGTCTGAAAAGAGGTGACAGAGAGTCAGTCCATCTTTCAGTAACAAGACAAACATGCTTTATACAGCCTACCCAATTCCACATATGTTCATTTATATCTTCTCAACCGGAGCCCAACTCCTCAACTGAAGCACGACTCTGTTAAAAAGATACACGCTGAAGACTTACAGCACATAGTTAGCCCAGCAAGATACCTCACAGGGACTTTTTGCAATTCTCAATAAAACAGATCCATTTATTCCAAAGAAGCATCCCTAAAAGTCAATTGTGCCAGCAACTTAGCAAGTGAATAATTCAAGTGATATTGCTGTAGAAATATACCAAGACACAGTAACTGTGAGCTGCCTGAAATTTTAACATGTAGTGAAAAAATACCAATATTTTTCCACACATCAAATACCCTTTCACACATCAATACCATAATGTGCTTTGGGCATCTCCATTTTTACCCACAGAAAGTTCCTTCCGTTATGGTTTTCCTGATGTAAATTGTAAATTTGAAACCATCTTTACATTGTCTGCAAATAGCAGACAGATATCGCCTAAAAAGCCACTATTATTAGCAAGGTACTAATCTAATCAACATGCAAAAGAATTTTGGTACTTCAGAATTCATGTGCAAAAACTAAAGAAAACAATGCCAAAATTATGATTACTAGTGAACTTTTCAGATCTTATGCCTTATAAATTGCACTGAAACAGAGTAAAATTACTGATAGGGAGTGTTTTGCAAACACAAGAGCTCTGCATGGTCAGACCAACAGAAGGTTCAAATTCCTGATTTTGAAGAGATCATGTAGCGTGTTTGTATATGGCTTTTGGGCTGAGATAAAAAGAAGGCTGGTGTATTTCCCCATAAGGAAATGCATGCTGAGGTCTCTGTGGTGTTTAAACGGAAAAAAAGAGAGGTCACAGCCTACATGTCACCTACCTGCTTGTCAGCCAATGCCCTATTGTCAAATTTTCTCATTGAGAAAATTAAGTTCTCTTTACTACCAAAGCCATTTCACCCTTTATCTACTATGCAAAGCCATTTCACCCTGTATCTACTATGCTCTTGCCCTCTGTTATGCCTTCTTCCCAAATCTAGATTTTTTTGCATTTTCTATTACCCTGCAACTTTACCCAACTTTCTCTCCTAGAACCATTAGCAAGTAAATAGTTAATGTTGATTAGTGAGACTATTTGCTGTTCAAATTAACTGGTATCTGTAGGACATCACGTCAGGCTGAAACTCAAGTAGTTGGTATGGCTGCTCGCTCTTGGAAGATGCCTTCAGCAGCCACAACAGCAGAAGCCTTAAGAAGGTTCCAAGAACAGCAACCTGGAAGGCTAATTCCCAGGGGAACATGGCATCCAGTGTGTCCTGCTTCCAGAACTTACTGCAAGCAGAAGTGCTGTACCTTTCAACTGAAGACAAGTCACCTCACCCCTCGCGGCTGAGCCAGAGACACAAGTGAGATTCTCTGACAGCAACAACATCCAGCTATACAGAGCACAAAATCAGTGCTGGTACACGATTTTACTATACACACAGAGGATGCCAACCAGAAGAAAATATAAAGCCTGCTGCTTTATCCTATAGTGGGATAAAGGTGGTTTGCCATGCTGCTATTTACCTGATATTTGTAGATTCTGTCTGTATCCACTTAAATTTAACTTGGTTAGTTTTGAAGTAACATGATTGACTGCTGTTTTGACATGGGTGGCTGTGAAGTCACACCAGGACAAGTTCAGCTCCTCCAGCCTAAACACAAATAAACAGAGTTGTTTGGAAGAATGACTGAAATACAGTTTGCGTTCTGATATTGTCCATTACAGTTGACTCTTAAGGCAAAAACTTGTAACAGACTTACCACCAACTTCCTGTACTCGTGACTACAAATTTCACTATGACAATAATTAAGCAGTGGAGTAGGCTGCCCATCAAGGCTGTGGAACCTGTCTTTGGAGGTTTTCAAGATCCAACCAGAGGAAGTCCTTGTGAATGGAATATTTCAATAGTATCTTAGGAAATGAAATAGTTCTACAGAGATTGCCATGGGGAGACACTGGTTTTTTTCATCCTGCTTCTGGGTTTGTGACCTGAATCTGTTACTACTGAACAGATGTCCAGGTTGAGAAGAAAAAAGGCCATCCATTATTAGCATTGATCAGATGACCAATTAATCCTAATTACCATAAAATACTTCATAGTTTTACATAAGCACTAGGCACACTGTGACCTTAACTCTCTTTTACATGCTTAATTATCTATAATCTATCACCACTCCAGGTTGGGACAAAGTATTTGTTTTGTGTGCAGGTGTTGTAGAAGTTACCAGAGGACAAAGACACTGAGCAGCACCACTAGAGCTTTTAGCTGGCAATCTCTATGTAAATGAAAGAACCGTTAAATTGTCACTAGCATTCCTAGGACCGGGTTTGCCATCTGCTGTGCACTGTGAATGGTGCAGACTGCCATTCTCTAAAGAGCTCATGATCCAAGTAATCAGACCAAGCAATATAAAGCATTATCTACCCATGAGAGACAGGGAAAGATTAAGGCTTTGTCTGTCCACTAACTTGCAATTTGATTAAAAACATGCTTTTGCAGAAGCAAAGATTAAGTAGATTGTCCAGCATCTCACAGAAAGATCAGGATATACACGCCAGATTGACTGGGGGTTTGGTTCAGTGACTTCCTGCCAGCAGATGGTTTAATCACTGCAGCTGTCAATCTCACCACAGTAATTCATAAAGTCGAAGGTTGCTGAAGGATTAGTCTATCATGGATGGAAAGCCACAATGTTTCTGCCATTCATGCTGTACTCTGATTGCAAAGGGAGCTCTGGGACTCCACTTTTCAGTTTCAAAACACACACTTTCACTTCGTAAGGATCACATGCTGCTTCCATTAAAAAAATGAAATTTACGTGATAATCAAAGGAACATAAATGGCATTTATCCTTCTCCAACAAGGCTTCCTATAAGGATGACTAAGGAAACTCATGGAAGACTACTGAAGTACATTTTTGCTATTAAAGAAGAAAACAGCTTCATGGAAAGAAACTATCTGACTACTCAGCTCATAATCAACTGCTAGTCAAGTAGCAATAGAAACATGCTCATAAAAAGATATTAGAATGGGATGCAACTAAAAAGGATCCTTTTTCTCAGGAACAGCAGTAATCAAGAATAGCAAAAACTATTTTTTATCTTACTTAGAACAGCTGCTCAACATCAGCTTCAAGGCTTCTGCAGAAAATCCTGAGCACCCACAGAGATTTAGTCGCTTCAGACTGCGATTCTTAGCAATGCTCCTGTAGGGAAGAAAAAAAGCAAGGTCTGATAAAACTGAAATGTTGGAACATTGCTTGCATTGCCAGGATGTGTGATTATTTTCAAGAGCTAAGTAAACTGTCCTAACAGTCACTAAAGATGTCAACTCTACTCGCTGCATCACGGCACAACTTCAAAAGGGATACTTGCCTATTTACCTGACATTCCTGACAAATAAACTGCTAAGTTCAAAAAGAAACAGTTTAATGGCATAAAACAGGAGAAGGTGAAAATAAACACATACCATGGCTTACTAGTGATGACTATACCTCTAAAAAAGAGGTCCCTTTTGAAGTTTTCTATCTTCTATCTTTCTATCTTTCCCGTTTAACTAAACAACAGTTCATCTGCTTGACAGAATCTGTAATTTTCCAGGCACTCAGAGTGAAGTAACACAAAAATGTGAAAAATAATGCAGAAGCACAATAAGCATCTAGTAAGAGAGCTGCTGAGACCCCTTAAAATAGAAAATAACTCTGTGTTTGGCTTATACATTATCTCGGGAGCACAAAAATGGGAAAATAAATGTAGTTCTGATGTACAGCTTGGCTGTGGGAACGGCCAATGTACACATAAACCCTAGGAGTTATGTGCAGTATCTCCACAGTCCCCTTACTCTGTGGAAAGAAAAAAACCAAACCCACCAAAGAACACTCTTGCAGATGTGTGTTTCTTCCTCACCTCATCTCTTAGAGGACAGAGAGGAAAGATGCAGCTCATCTAGCCTGCCAGCTGGCTCTGCTAGGTGCCATTTCAAGACTCCCACAATGAACAACTCTCAACTGCATTGTTTTGCTAGCCTGTACAAAATTATAGCACCAAACAGAAGGTATTTACTGAACATTCCCAGACACGTCACTCACTTGATGATGTTGTCAGAAAGTACTAGACCCTCCAGGCTGAGGTTCTGCAGCTTTTCACACAGACAAATAATACTCTGCAGGTCTGTAACAGACACTGTACAGTTCGACAAATCCATATATTGAACTTTTAGAGGTCTACAAAAGGAGAAGAGCAGGTTACTAAAATTGCTTTAAAACCTGGTCCACAAATTCCCCATACCATAAATATACTCCATACAGTAAAACCATGGAAAGCTTGAGAAAATAATTATACTGTTGTATCCAGCTGCACACTGGACATATTACTAAGCTCACTGGGTCTATTGCTAAGCTACCAGCCAAAACTGCAGAACTCTTCAAGGCACTTACAGAATTAGTCATAACAGAAAAGTCTATCCTGCTGGAGTTAAACAATTTTTTTTGAGCTTCCCATATAAATATGCTGGAGATCCTTACAATTCTTTGTTCTACAAGATATAAATTGCAAATGGGTGATGGTGCTTGACACTTTCAAAAATCAACCAGAAATGGTTTTGAATAGCTGACATGTGAATGCAGATCCTCTTATTTCAACACATGCCTAACATTTGTCAGCTCTTCCACACTTCAGAGACAGCACATATGCTACTACCAAAACCAAAAATACACAGAGAAACTATGAATATTTAAGACCTGTTTTTTTCAGGATTCAGAACATGCAGAAAAAAACTTACTTTCTTGTTTTAAACAGCGGATTCCCAATACAAGATCTTGGGCAGCGGAATACAACAACACCTGCAGGCAGCAACTGTCCAATCACTCCTGGTAGCAGATTTCTACCAGTCAGATCAAGGGTCTGCCAGAGAGATTCATCAAACCTAAGGCACAGGATTTTACTCGTTAGTGAGCTAGAAAGCGTCAGAGCTATGAATACAATTCCAGAAAGTTTTCAGTGTCACACAAGACAGAGCAGCAGGAAAGCTATTTAGTAGAATTTACTGATGTTAAAATATGTGAACCATCTTTTGATTATAAATACATATAACCCACATATAGCATAAATTGAATTATACATGAATAAACAAGATGAGAACCAGATCGTTTAACAATCTATGGAAGCAAGTTTTCTTAGTACTAAATGATGAAAAGTAACACTTACGAAAGACGACGCCATCTCTTGCAAATCAGGGAAACTTTTAGCAAGTCATTTAGGGGCAAATAGGCAAAGATTGATAAAAGCAATTCATCTGGAAGTGCATCCCAAGAAACACCTTTAGGAAAAGAGCAAATGTATTCAAGTTAAAGCTGGTTCAGTTTTGCCTGATGATCAGACGCCTTGTTTGGCTTGCTGATGAAAGCACCTCTACAGTCTCTTTTTAGGTTATATACACATCAGTCCATTACTTATCCCCCTTTTCAGCTCTTCGTTATAGGAAGATGTTATTACCATCTTTGCCTAGGTATTACTGACAACGGCAAAGCTTTCCATAACATCAACTACCTATACATATTAAAACAATTTGCCCGAGAAAAATTATAAGTCTTTATTCACATACTCATTTTGGAAACAAAAGCATCTAATTTACTTCTTTTGGATTCTACGGCTTGTACGGTCCCTCTTGGTTTTCCCCCTCCCCGCTGACATGCCTGTCCTTCCTATGCATGTCAGGCTCCCAGAAGGAAGCCCCAGGTGAGCTATGCTTTTGAATGTTATGCAGAGAATAGCTGGTACTACAAACTGCTCCTTAAAACATGCATGCTAACTATCATCCCTCAAGGAATTATCTGAAAGGATGTGGTGCGATCTCAGTGTCTCAGAAGTAGGCTCCAGGGCTCCACAAGCCACTCACACAGGAGATTACTCGGTGCTGGAGCTCAAGAATAACTGCCTATGACTCAGCACTCCATCTTACTTAAAAGTAAGCTTGTCTGAGGGCATTCCCACCTTTCATATGACAGACTAGTGTCTGGCAAGAGCTGTTTCATCATTTTGCATTCTGTAGCTGCTGACTGAAAATACATTTTGATACCAGCTAAAGAACTCAGCATCCTATAACCTCTTCTTCAAGTGCCCCAGGTCCTCAGGTTACAGCGCTGCTCTTTCCCTGCAACTCTGTTTCCAGCCCAGTAGTCTTATGCCCCAGTGTAGCTCACTGGCCAGGTCCCTTACATTGTTCCCAGCTGAGCTCCAACAGCAGTAGAAATGCTGCCCCTCTGGCACACCTCAGCTTGCACTGCGAGAGGTGTAGATCTGGATCCCCATAGTCTCAAGGACCATGTATCTTACATCTGAGATGCGTAAGTTAAAGAAAATAAATTATAATCAAGCCCCCCTGGGTTTCAAAATTATACTGGGGACAGCAGCACCTAAAATCCACATTCCTCTGGCAGCCACAGCTGTATTTTGTGACAAGCCTGGCCCTGCTTGGTATGTGGCAAAACATCTCCTGGAATGGGCCCCTTGGGCAGAGCAATAGATGTAGCTTAGGGTCCTGTAGGGCCAAGGTGCTACCCAGGTCCTAAGCAGCAAGAGCAGATAGGCACAGGGACATACAGCTCAAACCCCCGGCACACAGACAGGGGCTGGCTGGGTTTGGCAGGAGCCAACCATGGCTTAGAAGGGCCCCAGTTTTGGAGCCAGACGTACCACCTCTGCTTAAAGGCTTACATAAAACAGGACTCATCAGCCCAAGCCTGAAAGCCACTAGATCTAGAAGTTATATTCTGCTGGGAAAGAGCGAAAAAAAATGCCACAGAATATAGCGCTAATGTCTGGCGATGCCCACTCTCCATCTCTACTGAAGGGCAAACGAAACCTGGACCAGGGTGACAGTACCTGACTCTGCCTCTCGAAGCAACCGAGGCCGCCGCACAATTACAAAGTCCTTTTCCTTTTCCTTCTCCTTCACCTTCTGTCGTTTCTGAGGAGGACAGGGCGGCGACACCAGCAGGTCCTGCGGCGTGTTTTCGTTGCCCAGCTTATCCTTCTTAAGGACAGACACTCCCATACCCGAGAGAAACTCTGAGGTCTTGCTGGACTCCCAGTCCCAGTCCCAGCTGAAGCTGGTGGAAACATTGCTGCTGGAGGATGGGATCTCTTGGAGATGTTTCCTGCAGAGACAGCGAAACACCCCCCCCAACAAAGGCTCTGAAGGTTACCAAACGTGAAGATAGGGCTTCCCCCTGTCACAAAATCATCCAACAGTCACACCCCACCCGCATCCCCACGCAGGGGCAGGGAGGAACCTCCACATCAGCGAGGAGCACAAGCGGCGGCAGGGCCATGTGCTCGGTCTGGCCACAATTCCACACTAAAAAAAAAAACCTCCCCGGGGAATTTAAAGGCATCCCCTTCCCCGGGAGTGAGTGAGTCGAGGCGGGGTGAGGGCAAGCCGTCGGGGAATCCGTCGGACGGCGGGAATCCCCTCACACCGGCGGGGCCGCTTCTGGCGCTGAGGTGCGCGGCTGAGGCCCAACGGCCATAACGGCCGTTGGGCGCCAGCCGCGCACCTCAGCGCCCGAGAGGGAGAGAAACAGTCTGCGGACCGTCCCCATCTGCCTTCCCACCAACTATTCTGGAGAGCAAACAGCTCCGCTCGGTGCGGAGCCCCCTCCGCCTCCCCCCCTCACCTGTGCATGGCGGTAGACGGTGGCGCCGGCGGGAGCTCCGCGCTCTTCAGCAGCAAGCCCGCCCCGCCGACCGGAAGTTGGTGGAAGGACGCCGCAAAGCCCGTCGGGAGTGGTAGTCCGCGAAGAGGCTCCCCCCCCCATCGTTCCTTTCCCTTACCCACAGTACCTTGCGGCGGCCGTGAGGGACGTCAGCGGTTAGCGAAGGGGAGGGGGCAAATGGCGGCGGCGGCCACCGTGGCCCTGAGGCGGAAGGAGGCGGGCGCGGCCGCTGCGGCTGTTTTCTGCGTGGCGATCTGAGCCCTCTTCTGGAGGACGCGGCGGGCAGGCAGGCAGGATGGCCGGCGGCGGTGCCCCGCGAGCGACCGGCTGCTGAGAGAGGCGGGGGCGCTGTGGTGAGGGAGCGGCGCGGCCCAGACACCGGGGGGCGGCTGTGGAGGTGCCGAAGGTGCCGTGGGGGGTGTGGGATGTGGGATGTGGGATGTGGGATGTGGGATGTGGGATGTGTGTGTGTAGCCGTGTCCCGCTCCCTCCGAGCCGGGTGCGTGCGCCCCCGGGGCCTGGGCATCTCCTGGGCTGCCTTTGAGGGGGATATGGAGAGGAGGGGGGTGGGTGGCCGACGGTATCTGGGGGTGTCCGGGAGGGGTGAGAGGGATTGGAGGGTTCTTTTTGCTGCCCCTCGTTTTTTCCTTCCTTCAGGGACCCCCAAGGACATAGGTTTAAGGCGGGTGTGTTGATGTTTGTTAAGTGCTTGTAGACTTCGATTCTGTGCGCCTTACAGGCCTGTGGATGTTCAGCTTTAGCAGCTTTAATCTGCAGTGTCTGGCGTGGAAAACTAGAATCGTGCTGACGGTGACGTTTTACTGTGAAAGGTTTTTTCCTGCGTTTTGGAAACGCCTTAGCTACGAAGGCCTGAAATTGAGAGTCTGCCGGTGTATTATGGTCCTATCCCTAACTAGGCTGTGCTTAAACTCGGCAGTCTTTGCACACCATGTTTCAGATTTATGCCAGGCTTTCTTTCAGTAATGCAGCTCTTCATGCTTTCTGTCCAAACTACTTGTTTTGAAATTGGTGGGGATGGAAAACTAATTCTGAACACACCTACGGCTCTGCTCTTAGTCAGCCACTTGCTTGTAAGTGCTGTGCTTTGTTTACTGCGTAACGATGGAGAGACATGCCTCTAAAATTGAAGATGGTAATGGGAGGCACGGCAAATTGTACACCACTGTTCAGTCAGATACAGGCAATGGTGCAACTCTAACTGTAATTCATATAATCTTAAAAAGAATTTGTGTTAGCCATTTCCAGTTTTAACTAAAGGCATGACACAGTTGTTTAAAGGTTATTTAAGTACATAATCAAATGAAAAGTGATTTTTTAGTTTAAAAAAAATTAAGCTGTTTCTATTTAACCTCTTCAGCAGTCCTTTTTATTTTTATCAATCTTTTCAGTTTTCTCTATTAATGCATGGGGGCTTGAAAGAAGAATTTGTGGAAAGGGGTAAAATAAAATTATATTTTAAAAAGCTCTGAACTATCAAATAACCTAAGCCTGTCTTAATGCAAGGTTAGTGTTGTAATCATGTGGTTGACTGCTTTACTGGCACCTGTTTTGTGTGAGTGCATTAGTCTAGCACCCAGATAGTAATTTTTGTTCTTTTTTTTACATTCCTATTGCAAATGTACAGCTATTGTATCTGATTCTACTTTAGTTCCTCCAAGCAAGATGTTTTCTTCAATATGTTATTTCCAGAGTATTCCTGTAAGCCCTATGAAAACATCAACTTGTGTGGTACTTAATAACCTATATTAGAGGACAAGGCAGCACCATGTAAAGCATATAAACTTCCTGTGGTTTTGTGCTGATCGTCCCTGCTTGCTTTTAAACACAAAAATCTCTATATTCCTTGGCAAAGCTTTTATCTTCTATTTAGTACTTCTTTGGAGAACCTAGACTCCCACCAAATAAGAGAATACTGCTATCTTGTGTGGAGTCAGCACATAATTTTATTATTTTTTTCCTTGACGTTAGCATTCCCTAAATATTGATTTACAAGCGATTAAATGTTTAATCAATTTAAAATACTTTCTTCGTTACAATAGTTGAATATAGTTGAAATCACAGTACTAATAAAATGTCAGTCACAGAATTGTAGGGATTGGAAGGAAATTTCAGAGATCATCTCGTCCAACCCCCTTGCCAAAGCAGGGTCACCCAGAGCAGGCTGGACAGGAATGCATCCAGGCGGGTTTTGAATACCTCTAGAGAAGGACACCCCACAGCTTCTCTGGGCAGCTTGTTCCAGTGCTCTGGTACCCCCAAAGTAAAGAAGTTTTTCCCCATATTCAGATGGAACTTCCTGGGTTCCAGCTTGTGTCCATTACCCCTTGTACCAGGCACCACTGAAAAGAGCCTGGCCCCATCCTCCTGACACCTGCTCTTTAGTTAGTTACAAGCATTGATGAGGCCCTCTCTCAGTCTTTTCTTCTGCAGCCTAAACAGACCTAGGTCTCTTAGCCTTTCCTCATAAAAGAGATCCTCCATTCCCTTGATCATCTTTGAATCCCTCTGCTGGACAATTTCCAGTAGTTCCCTGTCCTTCTTGAATTGGGGGGCCCAGAACTGGACACAGCACTCCAGATGTGGCCTGATCAGGTCAGAGCAGAGAGGGTCCTCTCTCAACCTACTGGCCATGCTTTTTCTAATGCACCCCAGGAGACCGTTGGCCTTTTTGGCCACAAGGGCACATTTCTGGCTCATGGTCAGCTTGTCCACCAGGACTCCCAGGCTTCTCTCTGCAGAGCTGCTTCCCAGCAGGTCAGCCCCTAACCTGTACTGGGGTATGGGGTTATTCCTCCCCAGGTGCAGGACCCTGCACTTGCCCTAGTTCAATTTCATCAGATTCCTCTCCACCCAACTTTCTAGTCTGTCCGGGCCTTGCTGTATGGTAGCACAGTCTTCTGGTGTGTCAGCCACCCCTCCCAGTTTTGTATCATCAGCAAACTTTGCTGAGGGTCCACTGTGTCCTCTCATCCAGGCTGTTGATGAATATATTGAACAAGACTGGATCCAGTTCTGACCCCTGGGAGCACTGTTAGCTGCAGCGTCCAACTGGACTCTGCACTGCTGATCACAGCCCTCTGAGCTCTGTCATTCAGCCAGTTCTCAATCCACCTCTCTGTCCACTCATCTAACCCACCACTGTGTCCTCTCATCCAGGCTGTTGATGAATATATTGAACAAGACTGGATCCAGTTCTGACCCCTGGGAGCACTGTTAGCTGCAGCGTCCAACTGGACTCTGCACTGCTGATCACAGCCCTCTGAGCTCTGTCATTCAGCCAGTTCTCAATCCACCTCTCTGTCCACTCATCTAACCCACACTTCTTAAGCTTACCTATGAGGATGTTAGGGGATACAGTGTCCAAAGTCTTGCTGAAGTCAAGGTAGACAATATCCACCAGTTCAATTTCATCAGATTCCTCTCCACCCAACTTTCTAGTCTGTCCGGGCCTTGCTGTATGGTAGCACAGTCTTCTGGTGTGTCAGCCACCCCTCCCAGTTTTGTATCATCAGCAAACTTTGCTGAGGGTCCACTGTGTCCTCTCATCCAGGCTGTTGATGAATATATTGAACAAGACTGGATCCAGTTCTGACCCCTGGGAGCACTGTTAGCTGCAGCGTCCAACTGGACTCTGCACTGCTGATCACAGCCCTCTGAGCTCTGTCATTCAGCCAGTTCTCAATCCACCTCTCTGTCCACTCATCTAACCCACACTTCCTAAGCTTACCTATGAGGATGTTAGGGGATACAGTGTCCAAAGTCTTGCTGAAGTCAAGGTAGACAATATCCACCGTACTACCCTCATCCACTCAGCCAGTCATCTTCTCATAGAAGGCTATCAGATCGGTCAAGCATGATTTCCCCTTGGTGAATCCATGATGACCATTACAATGACCTTTTTTTCTTCTAAGTGGTTAGAGATGACATCCAGTATGAGCTGTTCCATAACCTTTCCAGGGATGGAAGTGAGGCTGACTGGCCTGTAGCTTCCCGGATCCTTGCTTCTTACCCTTTTTGAAGGCTGGCATCACACTAGCTTTCCACCAGTCCTCAGGCACCTCTCCTGTTCTCCATGATTTTTCAAAGATGATGGAGAGTGGCTTCCCAATAACATCTGCTAGTTCCTGTGGCACTCGCAGGTGCATCCCATCAACGTCGATGGTTTTGTGGCTGTCAAGTTTGTTTAAATGATCTCTAACCTGGTCGTCCGTGATCAAGGGAGAGTCTTCATTACTTGAGGCGCTTTCTCCTACCTTCAGGGTATGGGGTTACTGAGGGCTGGCCTTAGCAGTAAAGTCTGAAGCAAAGATGGCATTCAGTAACTCTGCCTTCTTTGCATCTCATCCATCACCGGGGCACACACCTCATTCAGCAACGGCCCCACATTTTCCCTAGTCTTCCTTTTGCTGCTGATGTACTTGAAGAAGCTCTTCTTATTGTCCTTGACATCCCTTGCCAGGTTTAATTCCAAGCGGGCCTTGCCTTCTGCATTGCATCCCTGCATACTCTGACAGTGCTGCTGTGTATCTCCCAAGTGTCCAGTCCTTTTTTCCACATTCTGTAAACGTCCATCTTCCATCTGAGTTTTTCCAAAAGCTCCCTGCTCATCCATGAAGGTTTCCCACTTCCTTTGCCTGACCTCTTGCTCTTAGGGATGCAATCAGTACATAGACTGAGTAATATTTGTTAGAAAAATAAAGCTATGCAAATTGTGTTTCCTTGATTCATCTTGGAGGCTATTTCTCCCAAATAGTACAGTTAAATAACTTCTCTTGTCAGTTTTTGTGAGCAGTTCATGGCTATTTTCTTTCTTTAGGTAGTTTTTTCCCTGTGCTGAGATTAAGAAGCTCGTTATCTGCTTATAAATACTTACTGTTGCCCCAAGCTGCAAGGGTCAATGTGTAATAAGGAAGTGGAAGTGGAAAAAAACCACATTGTTGCTTGACCTCTTGTTTTCTTTTTAACATTTCTAAAATGTGAAGTTAGCCCATTTTGTTGTTTAACGATGAAGTAAAAGGGTTCATAATGTTGGGCAGTCCTGTCAGTCCAAAAGGTTTACCTGTGTCTGTAAAGTGAAGTCTTTAGGTTTCTTAACAGCAGGCTTTTGCAGAGTAGGGCAGGCTTCAGAAACCTGTTGCAGGTGTTGTGGCATACTGTTTTTCTTTTGCCAAGTGAAATGTGCTGGAACAAATTCCATAGGAACCAGCAAATTATTCCCTGACAGAAGGTCAGGCAAAATGTTGTCATTGAACTGGCCATTGATATTTTGCTGGAGATGGCAGCTTTCAGTTTATAGTTGCTACCAAGTTGTGAATTCAGCTTCAGGTGGGAGAGGCTGTCACACACATGTTGCTTTCAGCATGCTGTGGCTCTCAGTTTTGTCTA